TCTGAACTCTGCACGCACATCGGTAGTACATACAATCAACTAATCCCCCGACTTCAGTAATATACGGATATACACTTATACTCTGCTCAATATACCATTATCGCTCATATAATAGTATATCCGTATATTACTAATTTTCAGATTTCAGATCGATTACTCAGAATAAGGTATTTATGCAGAGTTCAGGTCTTCAGAACATCTCTAGTTGTAATATTTTATCCATTGCAGGGAAGGTCAACAACCTCAAATGTCACCGTAACTAAACACCCAGAGTTGCCTTTAATATTTAATAATATTATTTTTAATTAAATTGTTAAAGATGGTGTACCTACTGATTGTACGTTGCTAAAAAAGTACCTTACACATTTTATTGTTTATTAGTATTAAAGAAACGTAATGTAACCGTGTGTTCGACTGTAACATCTAGGCCCAAAATAACCATTTTATTGATGTAATAGACCTTTTTCACAAGCATGAAACAGTAGGGTAAACACAGGTTTACAATTGTAACTGATTAGGGTTCATTTCCAGTGGAAGCCAACAGCGGCACGCTGACACCTGAGTTTACCCTATTTCATGTTGGGTTGGCATTAATTATCTGACCTGTGAACGTGGAGCTGATGAACACTCGGATCATGTTGGAGCTGCTCTTCATCCTCTGAGCTCCGTCTGTCCGTCCTCTCAGGACGTCCTGCAGGCTGACCTCTCCTCCTCCTCCTCCTCCTCTCCTCCCTGCTGCTGCTGCTGCTGCTGCTGGATGCTCCGCCATCGTCCTCTCCCTCAGACGGCTCCAGTCGTCTGATCTTCCCTCCCTCAGCTGCTCCTCAGTCTGTTTGTTTCCCTCAGAGAGCTTCCTCCAGGACAACCAGTTCTCCCTCGTGACCTGCTCACCTGGGGCTCACTGTTAGACACCCTTCATGATTCACCCTGATTAATGTGATTTTGTGACGCTACGTCTGATATGCACCGGTTTTTGATGATGGGCGTGCAGTGATGCAAAAAACTAACAATTCCTCTAAAATGCACTAAAACTGCAGTAAAGAGTCTGTTCTTAAAGTGTAACGAGCAGAAAGTGCAGATATTTCTGTAAAAAATGTGGGAGGTAAAAGTAAAATGTGTCAGAAACATAAATGTAAAGTAATAAAAAGTAAAGTACCAATACCTGAAAAAACTTTGTAAGTACAGTAACAAAGTGTTTGTACTTTATTACTTCCCACCTCCGCCAATCATGTGTTTTCAACAGTTATGGGAAGCCAAAAAGGTCAAAATAATCACTTCTTTGCTAAGAAGGGTTGTAAAAATACAGCATTTATTTATGTACGGTAAGGCTGTAAAGATCGGCGTCTGAACAGCCACTGATAGGGCAATAGGCAATAGGGCAAAGTGCAATAAACAAACCAACACCGTAGCACTTTAATTCTTAGTCTGTGTTTAAGCTGCCACATTGTCAGTGT